ACGGCGCCCTGAATGTAGTTTGCAGGCCATGATTTGCCATGTAAAGGGGGTCAAATTTGTGTTCAGCAGAAAAAACAAACTAAAAAAAAAAGTACACACATAGAACCTGGACGTAACTCCTGTTCTGCGTCTGTGCCGAGATGTGAGTCAAATCAATGAGCTTCTCATGTCTAAGCGGGTCAATTTGTTTTTCATTGGGCGAACATCTAGACTGAGCTACCAACTTGGTGTGTCTTGTGATGAACCAACGCAGTCGGTTCTACAAGACCTAGGCCACAAACGCACATAAACTCAAGCAGACACATGAAACTACAAGCAGACTGACGCACACACACACGTTCATTACAGCGATGATGCTTCACGCGTGTGCACTGAGCTAGGAGGGCCGGACTGATACAGGCTTCAACCGCCCCGGCTATGACAGCTGGGGGCTAAATAAGGAATGGGGTCCGAATAATAGTGGTGGGCGGTACCGGCGAAATCCAGTCTCCAGGTGCCGAGAACCGCCAGTACCGGTACTGGGAGTGACACCAGTAGGTGACGTCACAGACTTCGCGTCGATTAGCGTCGCCCGCACCCCACCCCCACACACACACACCAGTCAGAATTGAAGAGGCGAACTGTGACGCAAAATACCTTTGAAGTTTGCCGCCACGTGGGATTAAACTTTGCAAGCAGAGTTTTTAAAATAGTTATCGCCGTTAAAAATTGATTTCATTTTCGGAATCAGCGTATCAAAATAAGCAAAGTGGCTCTTGTGGAACCTGATTTGAAGCCATATTATAAATTTAAGCAAACTTCGTTTTTCATTGTCAATTTTGAATCTGAAGTACTGTATCAAGGTCACCCACTGCGTTGTGTGCATCTGACGTCCCAGCTGCTAGGCTTAGGCCTACACACTGCACACTTCCCGTGGCCTGGTAAGAAAAAAAACAACCGTCGCGTCGGCTCCTTCTCAGAGCCGGTATAACCATTGGTGTCGGCTCCTTCCGAGAGCCGGTACTGGAGGCCAGGTGTCGGTACTGACACCTCCTTCGGTAGAACCGGGAGTTCCGGTACTAGGTACCGGTACCTGCCCATCCCTACCGAATAAGGACCAGATTATTGGCACCTCCGCGGTCCGAATAATGACATCGTCTTTTTAACAACGACAACGTCATGGGGAGGGCATGCCCCCCCCGAACCAAAAAGAATCAGGAGGCTTTCAGGGGGGCTCCCCCCCCCCCCCCCCTCCTGCATTTCACTGACTATGATTTGTTGATGTTTTGGCAATTAGTATTAGGATTGATATTTTAATATTTTTACTTGAAAACAATTGACATTGAATTTCAATTGATTTGCAAGGGCCATGATGAGATCTAGTCTAGAATCTAGAGTCTAGATCTAGATCTACATGAGCTTTTGCCAAAAGGTGGGGGTGTTTGCATGAGGACTTTTTTAATCAACCACTACTCATGGTAAAATATGTTTTCTTCTGAAAACTTTATGCATATGGCAAGGAAATAAGTTGGTCAAGCTGCATGAGCAAGTGGATTGATGTGTGCATCTTATATCTCTACATAGAAAGATAATAGTACTAAAAATAGGTCATTTTTTACTCATCCTGAGTGCACACGTAATTGTATGTTAAATACAGAATATTGTTAATCTTAAACTATCAAACAGTAGTGCATTCAAACATTGAAAATAGTTTGTATACACCATCATAACAGCGTGTGTCCATTAAAAGGATTTTATTTTTTTATATTAATGATGTTATTGCTGAGTAAAATTTATAAGTTCGTTCATTACTCGTGTCATAATTACATCATCAGACTTTCCAAGGTCTAGAAAACCCAAATCGTTAAACATATCATCCCGAGAAATGACCGGTATTAAATATTGGTTTGACATTGATCCATCAGAAGGGTAATTTTCCCCTCCATCGCATGGTTTTGCTTAAATATGACTTTGATTGAGATAATCCAGGTTTGTCATAATGATGTTATGAACAAACACTTTATGATATTTCTGCAAAATATCATGTGAGGGACTTCCCACTGTTTCACAACATCCTTTTACATGGTGGAATGAACATGGAAGAGTATCGTGCTGATGACTCAAAAGAGAAGCGAAGGAGAGGCAAAAATATGCTTGTCATAATGGATTGTCATCATGTTATGAACGTGACAGTGTGTCATAATGGTTATGAACGAAACCTTATTCCATGTAATTTACAGTTGTTTTGGGATGTATTTTTAATTTTAACCCAACTTGAGGATGTATCAGACCTTGCTTATATTCTGATATTTTGATTTTTATGATAAGTGTATGGGTCTGGATTTTAATTAGTATTTTACTTTTGTAGTAATGGTTATGAACGAACTACATATTGTACTCTGAGGGCTTTACAGAGTTGATAAACATTAAAAACATGTACACAGATACACATATTATGAGGAAACTTTCATTTAATATGAAATTTTAAAGTAAATGACAGGTCAAAATATTAATTTTTAGGTCAAAACTGAAGTTTGTCATAATAGTTATGAACGAACAATTAAAGGTATTCTAAGGGTTTTTCAGTGATTAAACTTTGAATTCTTCCAACATATAACCTTATTTTGAGGAGAGTCTCATAAATTAAAACAATTTTATGTGAATGACAGAACAATAAGTTAATTTTTTGGGCCCAAAGTAAAATTTGTCATAATAGTTATGAACGAAACAGTGTGTCATAACGGTTATGAACGAAACCTAATTCCATGTAATTTACAGTTGTTTTGGGATGTATTTTTAATTTTAACCCAACTAAAGGACAGAATGGACTTTGCATACATTCTGATATTTTGATTTTATCATAAGTGTATGGGTGTGGATTTTAATTAGTATTATACTTTTGTAGTAATGGTTATGAACGAACTATTTATAGTCCATTTTATATATTTTGAGGGCTTTTCAGTGTTTACAAACTTTAAAAACATGTACAGAGATACATATTATGAGGAGAGTTTCATTTAATAAAAGTTTTAAAAAATGAATGACAGATCAAAATGAGTAAATTTTTAGGTCAAAATTGAAGTTTGTCATAATTGTTATGAACGAACCATTTTAAAGGTATTCTAAGGGTTTTTCAGGAAATATAAACTTTGAATTCTCCCTACATAGAGGAATCTATCATTTTAAGGAAAGCCTCATAAATGAAAACTGTTTTATGTGAAAGACAGAACAATATAAGTAAATTTTAGGGGCCAAAAGTAAAATTTGTCATATAGTTATGAACGAAACAGTGTGTCATAATGGTTATGAACGAACTTTAAATTTATGCATAATATGCCTTAAGACCAGTCTGCGTTTAAAAATAGCTGTTTAATGGTCTTTCATTTATCACTTGACTATAATTAGTCAATTGAGTGTTATTTTAGACAATTCTAGTCGATGAAACTTGATATAATTGATAGTATTTTGGTCACTTATTGTTCGTTCATAACTATTATGACACAAAAAAGTAATTTTATAAAAAATTAATAAAGATTTTTATAAATTGTCAATTCTATGTAGTTTTGGAAGTTATTTGCTATGTCTCAAAATATAACATCAGCCTAGCTGAAGAAAGGAACTTTGAGTATTCATAAATTTGTGTCATCATTGTTATGAACGAACTTTTTGCAATTTCTGTCATTCAAGTAAGTCAGAATTACACCAAGACCCTTGCATATACAGCTTTGGCAGTTACTGAGTCTGAAAGAGCAATCATTAGACTATATAATATGGGTGATTAAAGAATTATTACATAAAGTTGATTTTGGACCTCATTTGTCACACCCAGGTATCCCACCTTTTGGCAAATGCTCACATGAATTTAAACATGTATTCATGTAATGTAGATCTAGATCTAGATATCTAGATCTACAACAAAATATGGAGTAATAAATGCGTCAACTGTGGCTACAGAATTGCGTCACCTCTACCGTACCTTTTCTTGATCGAAAAACGATACGACTGAAGATTAGATCTAGAGTATAGATCTATATCTAGGTCTAGAAAGTAGATCTACTGAGTGTAGTCTGTCTGTAGAAACCGAAAGAAAAACTTGAAAACACGAAGTGCAGTAGTTAGTAAATAAGGAAGCGGAACTAGATCTCAAATGAATTTCCAAAACATGGATTTTTGAAACTTGTAAACAACGACACACAATGTGTACCTTCTGGACTCGGTAGGCTATGTAAAAAATAGATATAAGTTGATACTTCAAGGAAACAAAAATTATAATGTCATATCAAGCACTTTTAATACTGCAAGGACAACACGATAAATTATAATTTGTAAAGATGTGTTTACTTGTGTGTGAGTACATTAATGCGTGTGTCTATATTATAGGCTATTATGGGTCTGTGTGGGAGTGTGTGTGGGTGTGCGTGTGTGTGTGTGTGTGTGTGTGTGTGTGTGTGTGTGTGTGTGTGTGTGTGTGTGAGTGTGTGTGTGTGTGTGTGTTTGATTAGTTATAGTCTAACTATATGAATGTCCTATATTTGGGAATGGCCTTCAGGAAGAAGCACCGCCCCCCGGGGGGGGGGGGGGGGTCGATATAAATTGGTACAAAAACAAACAACAAAAGAACACTGACTAACAAAAGTAAAAATACATGTAATACAATAAACTGGAAAGAAGTATTACGCCTGAAGAAAATAAAACACTTATTTACAGTTGAAAAGCAAGAAGTCGTAATGGGTGCAAAAGAAAATAGTTGGAGCTATTTTTATTAGTATGTGAGTATAATTTTCTAAGTAGGGTTAGGGCTAGGTTTATTTATCATCCCTTCAAAGCATGTACTTGTCTGATATAAAAAACAACAAACAATACAACTAAAAAAACAAAAGCTTCGTAAGTATCCCTCTAAAGCCATACAAGTAACAAAGGGAAAGGAAAGCAGCAATTATGTATGCTTTTACAAATGCATTACCAGTACCAGTCACTGCGATGGCGATGGAACTTTCTGCTTACTGTTTGTTCGCTCGATAAAAAAAATAGATCTAGGCTATGACAAGGATCCGAAGGGTTGTTTTATCTTGGCCAATAATGGCCAAAGGCCTTTTTCGGAATAGGCCTACGTCTTTGGACCGGCGATACCGGAGAGTCCCGACAATGTATCGGACGTTTCCGTAAACCATACGCATGCGTATGGTGACTCTGTAAAGTAGGCGATTTTGAAACCTCTTTCGCAGAGGCAGAGGGTGGGTTGAGTAACTGTGTGTGGACGGAAAGTTTTATAACTGCTGAGTGTGAGATTTCTGTGGATATTCCATTCATTTATATGGATCCAAGAATTGCTTGGTATCCACCTGAACAATTGGGACCAGCACACGATTTATGGACGCGGATTTGGGAAACGCAGTATTGCCTGGACAGCATGTTACTTGGATCATCCTCTGACCAAAAACCTCAAGAATTTATTCCTTTGGATGAGCCGACCGACAGCACAGATCCTCACAAGAGGTTAGAAGCTCAACAGAAAAGAAAGCGGCAGGACAACCGTGCCTGTACATTTGGATTGAATTTTCCATTAAATACACGGATATTACGAGATGGTGGTCTCACGCCGTGGAGAAAAGATGACAGAATTTATGGGAGGGGAATTATTGGGTAAGTCGAGACTTTTAAATCATGTGTACTCGTGTACCCGAAGCCTGTGCTGCTCTGTCGTTTCTCTACTCTGTACTCTTTGATCTTGAACCTTTTTTGCCATGCCTCATCATGCCTTGTTGATTACTTAGTCTAGATCTTGGCATTTTAATGCAGTCTATTAATTATTGTGTATTATGTTGAATGTTTTTAAAGTTACTGCCTTGATGTAGATCTACCCATGTCCAGAGGTGTTCATTTAGATGACTAAGCACTCTCTGTTTGAGGTTAGATTCTAGATTCTAGATCTAGACTCTAGATCTCTAGATAGATCTAGATCTAGATTTCTAGATCTAGATCTAGATCTAGAATCTAGTAGATCTAGATCTAGATATCTAGATCTAGTAAAAAAAACTAGACTAGATTATCTAGATATATCTAGATCTAGTCTAGTAGACAAGATCTAATCTAGAGAAATCTAGATCTAGATTCTTGACTCTAGATGTCTTGATCTAGAGTCTAGATCTAGATGTCTTGATTTAGATATCTAGAGATCTAAAATGACATGGGCATATGATATAGATCTAGGCCTAGGCGGATAGTATTGTTGATTTTGTACCTAAGCATACTCCTGCCCCTCCTCCTATCGCCTAGAATCTAGATCTAATCTAGTCTAGACTCTAGACTCTAGATCTTGATGTTGATCTAGAATAAAAGGCACTTTTTCAGTAGTTCCCACACCGCAATTGTTATTCACGGGTTTTGGTCCCAAGAGTAGGGGGGTTTCAGGGGGGGTCTTGCCCCCCTGACCTAATAAAAATGTGAGTGTATACACACACAGTAACCGGAACAAAGTCACAAAGTATACAGACCCTGTAGGGAAACTGAAACTCTTTTTTTGTGATTTCGGAAAGTTTCAGCGCTCTCTTGCTCAGGGTAGAACTAGAGTCTAGGTTCTTCTAGATCTATGGCGCCTAGGTCTAGATCTAGACAGACAAATATAAATCATTGATCTAGTTTCGAGGCTAGCCTAGATCTAGATCTAGAATCTAAGTCTAAATGAAGATTGTGGATGTCTTTTCGATGAACGATCGTTTTTCCTGTTTTGGAGTTGGAGGAATCACAATTTGAAGAAAAGAACAATGTCATAATTTCAATCAATCGAGCAGTCTCTCTCCCCCTCTCTCTCTCTCTCTCTCTCTCTCTCTCTCTCTCTCTCTCTCTCTCTCTCTCTCTCTGGGGGCTCTCGTGGCCTCCTAGAGGTTAAAAAAGGTGTTGGCCTCTCATTCAAAGGTCCCGGGTTCGAATCTGGGTAGCGGCCGAAAAATTTTCTTCTCTAAAATTGTCTCCTTTCACCTCCTTTCCAGCTCTCTAGCAATATGTTGGGGGGTTTCATGGGGGGCATTTTACCACAATTTAATGTTTTGCAGTTGTTAGGTTTGATATCTTAGCTTGCCGCGAATAAAACGTATAGATCTAGGGGGGGTGGGAACTACCGAAAAAGCACCGAATAAAATAGCCAAGAACACATGTTGTCTCTCAACACTACACTACACGTCGAGATTTAAAGCCTAAGTCTAAGTTTAGTAATTGATTATAAATACTAGATTTAGCCTGTAGGTGACCAGGGTATATTAATCTAGCCTTAATTTACTTTCAGGCCAGGCAGGCCAACACAACATTAATAAGCAGTCCACGGCGCTTTTTCGGTAGTTCCCACCCCGCAATTGTTATTCGCGGGTTTTGGCCCCAAGAGTATATGGGGGGTTTCAGAGACAGAGACCTAGTAAAAAAATAGGCCGGCTCTATTTCTCCGAACGTTCGGGAAAATAGACTTGAACTCTATTTCTCCAAACGGTTTCCATTCTTGAGATTTGTTGATGAAAAGCGAATGGGGTGGCCCATGTGTGTGTGTGTGTAAAGTGTGAACGGGTGGAGAGGGGGGGAAGGGGCGTGGAGGGATTTTTTTTTTTTTACCATGAAGGATTTTAGTTTTTGCTGGGTAACTAAATGCAAAATAGGTTACTGCCAAGGTCGACAGGGTTGGTGATTTAAAAAAAAAATTTTAATAAAAATTTAAAAATCGATTTTTATTTAAATCCGATTTTTAAAATTTAAATCGGATATAAAAATTTTTTTTTTTTTTTTTTTTAAAGTCGACACAGTTTGGGATTTTGGGTGGCTAGAAGTATGTTCTTTTTGTGCAAAATGCATGGTTTTTATTTTAACTAATGATTAATATTAAGCAACTGCAAAAGAGAGCCTTAATGATTAATCTGCTGTCATGAAGAAAATGTCAGTCTAAAAGGAAGGGGGTGGGGGGATCATGCATAGATAAACTTGCATGTTATTACAGTGTGTGTGTGTGCCCACTTGTGTTTGTCTAAAAAGAAAATGCTAATTTCAATTATGAAAAAAAAAGTAAATTGAATACTGTATTATTTTACAGTGACAGGGGGGAAAGCAGACTTTTAAGCATGATTATATTAGTTTACTAAACCTTATATTTGTTTAATAAAACCAAGGAAAGAAATTCTGAATGTTTAAATTTGTCAAAACTGAATACATTTTAAAAAAAGTGATTTAAGTCACTGACCTTTTATTTTATTTAAAAAATCAAGTTGATTGAAATAAAAAAGATCAACTGATTTAAATCAACCCAGCTCTGATTTCAATTTTATGGGGAAAAAAGTAAATTGAATACTGTATTATTTTACAGTGAAAGGGGGGGAAGCAGACTTTCAAGCATGATTGTAAATTAGATCTAGTCTACTAAACCTTATATGAAACCAAGGAAAGGAATTCTGAATGTTGAAATATGTAAAAACTGAATAAAAATACATTTTCAAAAAGTGATTTAAATCCACTGATTTTTATTTTAAAAATCAACTGATTTATATCGACCTGATTCAAATCAACCCTACCCTGAAGGTCGAGCAGTCTTGTTTTCTCGCAAGGTTACTATTAGGTCTCTTCTTCATCATAAAATTTATCATGTTTGTTTGGGTAATCAACCATAATCGTTACCTTCTGCGGTCCCTTTTATGAGTTTGTTTGTATTGGCAGTGACTCATCAGTGAGACCGCACGAGACTTCCAGTCGATGTCTCATGGGAATGCCAGATTGTCTCGTCGTAACGTCATATTGATGTTTCTCATTATTTTTTTTGGGTGCTATGTTTCTGTTAATTATTTAAATAAAATATTATTACCTGTAGTGCCTGTCCTGGGCAACAACATCATTGTACACCAGACAGGTCCATAAGTGCTCAGTTCCTCTCAGCACCAAAGCCCACAAGGTATCCTTACTGATTGTTCCTGTGGCTGTCTGATTATGGCGATGTCTTTCCTTTCCAGATTGTTCCTTTTCTTTCTCCCCTTTCTATTCCCATTCATTTCCCCGCATCTTGATGGTTGCCTGGTATTCTGCTGTCTCCCGGTCTTATATATATAAAACATAATATAAAGTAACTGTGATTTAAATTATTGGTAAGATTGAAGAATTCCGGACCAACGGATTGGGACTGCTTTTTGTCTAGATCTCTTATATATATTACATATATATGTATCAACCTTAGACTTAAGAATTCATGATTGTCCCCAGTTTTAATCTCTCTCAATGAAGAATGTCGTACCTTTAGATTTATTCATTTAAGTTTTGTCCGGGGGGGGGGGGGGGGGGCGTTCTGGCGAAACCTTCATTGTAAATAAAGTTAAGAAAAGTTGGTACATTTTTATTTTCGCTCACTCACATGTAGATGCATTACTTTTTGGGACTAAATCACAGAGTTATTGGCTGCAGAACACACACACAAATGAATTGTAATAAAATCTTGTCTGATGTCAAAACATTAAAATGTATCATTATTATTATAATAATATGTTATTATATTTTATCCATGGTGAAGGGGGCGTACCCCTTTAAAAAATAAAACCAGGTTGAGAACCTGAAATATTACTACGCATTTTGGCAGAGTGTAATAGTAATAGTTCAATCAAATTCATCAATTTTGAAATCTAGCATTTTGTGACGGCTATATAGAGAGTCAAAATATATATATGTGTAAAAACCAGATGAAAATGAGCAAAAAAAAGTGTTACAATACCTGAGCATGAGACGATAGTTGAAGTTAAATAGTACCGAAAAGTTACTGAGAAGAAGACATTAGATTAAAATGAGAATGAATTGTCTTATATGTGTATCCTAGTATGTCATTGTCATAATGCTTTATATTATATATTGACCATTGTCTTTTCTTTTAGTAGAGTGTCTTATTTTTTATGGTAGCAGTTAAATCAAACTGGTTTAAAAAATAGCCTTCTAGTGCAAGGGTAAGAGTAAACACTAGGTCTCTGTTTTAAGTGGGACAAAAAGCAAGCAGTTTCCATAGACTTTTGAGATAAATTGACCTATTCAATGGAAGACTCAAATTTTTTAACTTTTTTAATTTGACACCTGTATGTAGATCTAGATCCATACGATTTGTGATCTAAAAAAAAAAGTTATTGTGATTTTTTAAAGGGGGTGGATGTTTGAAATAAAAAACTCCTCTTTAATTCTTTGGTAAATTGTTACTATCGCTCTCGCATGCAGGCGTGTTACACTTTTATAGGGGTGGTTCCAACACATTGTTGGCTTCTGAACACAAATGGCCCCTTAAACAGTTACAAATCAATAATCAATTTTTTTCAGGCCCAAACGGGCATGATAGTTTTAAAAAATATCGACTTCATTTGCTTTTTTGTAATACCATAGAGGTCACTATTCAAGAGTGTTTTGTAATATAACCGTTTACCTTAAAATACGCTCTTCTTTCACCCTCCCAAAAAATTATATGAGGGAACACATTAACACCCGGCTCTTTCTTCAGTTACAAGTTAGGAGCAAGATAAAAGCCAAGCCAAATGTAAGGGCATCCAAAAATGGGTGTTGGACAGAACACATTGACTCAGGGTACCAATAGTTGACAAATCAAGTCAGGTCTGATTATGACGCTATTTAGACGTTATTATTATAAACCTGTTGATTTAGTCCTGTGTGATGTAACAATGTCCCTGCCTTTTCTCACGTGTTAACATTTGCTTGGAAAGTGAGAAATAAGGGCTCTGGCGCTTGGTGGGACATGGGCTTTAGGACAAGGTGTGTGGAGGGTGATGGTGTAGTCAACAGTTGGGATTAGCTTGAGATTTTAGGGGAGGAGGTGTTTGAATGTGAGCAGATGAGGTAGTCTAGTAATTAAAATGTTCCATTACCTTTAAGTATTGGACACCATTTTGCTTCAAGGGAGAATGGAGCGACTTCCAGCTATCATATTAAATGCAAATTATATTTAAAAGCTTTGTTGACCTACTAGGTCAGATTTCAACAAATTATTTTATGATAAAATAAACCGTCACATAGGGGTATAATTTTGTGGATTCTTTTGTCATTGAAACTACTTTGAAAAGCTTACTTTTCAAATAAAATGAAAAAATGCAAGCGTGTCAAAAGAATCTTCAGGTTTGATAAACTATGATTGTGAAAATAAGGATTCCATGTTCATTTTCCAGGTAGAATTGTTTGAATCTAGAGGTTACACGAGTCAAAAGACTGGAACTAGATCTACACCCAAGTAAACATTAGATCTAAAAGTGGATGAATACTACTGTACAGTTTGCCTTTAGTAGAGTTATAAAATAAAAATCTTATGGAAAAAGTAAAAGTAGAATTATTTTTTTTTAAGTTACAGGAATTATGTAATTAACAAAAAAAGGAAATGCAAGGAACCCAATTCTTAAAGGGAGATCAAGGAGGCTAAAGAGACTTGAATTGTGTGGCAGCTGGAGATAACCAATCTCTCAGATCCAATCAGTTGAATGCATGGAACCCCTAACTGTAAAGACCTGGTAGGGACTTATTACAACAGGGAGTCACTTGATGGCAGAAGGAATATATAATCAGGAAAGAGATTGACAGGGTGGTAGGTATGGTAAAATATATGGGAATTTGATGATATATTTGTGCAAAACTTAGTCATCTGGGGAATTATAGTTCTAAAATAGTAAGACCACTGCCACTTGTTTGACTTGTGGAATAAATTTTCGAGGGTACCATTTCTGTAAAAATTAAACATTCACTGGTGAAATTGGTATATATATGTGCATCTTATTTTATTTCTTCTGATCTGAAATTATGCTCACCATTGTTCAGTTACTATGCCCTCACCCAATAGGCAATTCTTGTGTAAGTGGAGCCAAGTCCAGAACTCAGTTGTACGGCCTTAACAGTTGTGTTTTAGAAAGGTGCATCTATTTTTTGTGTTCTTCTTTGTAGGCTACTTTTGTGGGGG